CCCCCAGGCCTAAGGTAAAAATCATATATAAATTCTTTGCAGATCTTACTATAAAGGAAATTTTATATTACATTTTTATGATTTTTTTCCTTTTTAGCTAATTAACCAATAGAATTTAAGAAAAAGTAAGGTAAAAACTATTAGTAAAGGGCCAATTTTCTACAGTGACCTTTATTATAAGTAAGCGAAGTCCTATTCAAACTATTAACAACATATAAATTTGTAGTATAGAATAATTAGTGTAGTTTTAATTGATTTGTACATATAATTTGTAATGCTTTTATTAAATAAATTAATACATTAAAACAATAGCAAATAACTGAATTTGAATTGTTTTGTTTTGAAAAATTCTGAAGAAAAATTTTTAAAATTCTGTACAGATTTTTTAACATTTGCAGATCTGCGCAGATTTTAGTCATATTAAAAATTTTTTTCTGACATGTGTTGACAAGGTAGCAGATCTGTACAGAAATTTAGGCCAGAGATCTTTGCAGATATCTTTTATCAAAAGTTATTTTAACTAATGGGTGATCATTATAATATCAATACAATTAAAAAAACTACAGGTAGTTTCTGAAGATATGTATATTATGTTGGCATATTTGCAGATTTTTACCCTAAAAAATTTACCAATGTATCAAATCAAATCAAATCGTCAAATCAAATCAAATCATTAAATCAAATTAAATCGTTAAATCAAATTAAATCATTAAATCTAATCAAATTATTAAATCAAATTGAATCATCAAATCAAATTAAATTGAATTAAATCTTAAATTGAATCTCAAATTTTAAATCGAATCAAATTAAATTGATTTGAATCTCAAATTTATCAAACTTTGAATCAAATCAAATTGAATTTTGAATCAAATTTGAATTTGAACTAATTCAATCTGTGCAGAACACTAACTTATTATTAGATAAAATTAAATATTTTTACGCTATTCGCAATTAAAATTATTTGCCTTTAATAATTACTGCTATTATTAAAGAATATATAATAATTGAATAAGATCTTAATGTAAATAAAATGTAAGGAAATAACAAACATTAAGTATAAAGTTCATAAACTTATAAAAGTTTATCTTATTAGCAATTTTGGTTTAAAGTTAAATATTTTACATTTAAAAGAGTAAGAATATTAAATTAAAACTTATTGCATCTTCTAACAATTTATTAAGAGCATTATTTTTGCATACTTTAAGCAACTTAATTGCCAGTTCACCACTCAGTAGTACAAAATAATTGGCAATTTATAATTAATTTTGATAGATTTTTATATATTAAATACTATTACTCTGAAATAGTATTTGCATTATTTTAAAAATACATTATAACAACATAAATACTTCAAAAATTTGCTAAAAAAAGGTATTACATTACTTGGGTGTATTTTTCAAAACTAGTAAGATCAAGATATACCAAAAAAAAACTAAAAAAAAAAATAAAAGAAAATATTTTTTTTTTGTTATTTTGTTAATTTGGTAAAAAAAATAATATATATATTTTTAAATAGTAAAAAAAAATCTCATAAAATTTGCAAAATTTATGTATAAAAAATCTCAACTTAACTAAAATAGGACTACAGACATCTCTTATAGAACTCACAACTAACTTTTTGCCAAAAAAGACCCATTTGCTCTTTTTTTATTTTCCATTTTTGTGATTATCTCAGTATCCAGTGATCTGATTCATGCAGATTTTTTTTTATTTTGTAGAGCTTGATGAGAGCTACAAAACAAAAAAAAGTTCATACAAATTAGACTGCTAGATGCTGAGATAATCGCAAAAAACTGATTTTTTTTTTTGTGAAATTTAGGTCAATCTGTGAAAAAATTGCCACTGAGTTGTATATGTAATGTCTAGGGTCCTACTAAAATATAAAGTGGAATAGTAACTTCCTTTAAAGTAAACTTGTTAAATTTTATATCAAACGATAAAAAATTTTTTTTGTGATTTATTTACGTTTAATATTATTAATTAGTAAGTCATCATTATATTTACATAATCTTGTAAGACAAAATTGACATTAAAATATGCCAACATAATTCATATAAAATCTGCGTTAAATCTACAAATTAATTTTGTACCATTAAATGATAGACTGGCAATTAAGAAACATGATAATTAATTCTAATTGATTTCATCTATAAAACAAATAGATATAATTGGTATTTATTTACACTATATGTTTATAATACTTACAAATATTAAAATATAGGTATGTACTTTCTATAAATAGTAAGAATAATGATACTGTTGCAGAAGCTTTAAAAAAATTTTGCAGCTATTATCACTAAACTGGTTTTATATTTTTTTATAAATTTTTTTAAAATTTAGTTTTTCATTTTTTTTATAGTATTTTTAATGATTTTTTAAAGAAAAATTTGCTTTTTTCATTATTTTTTATGAAAATTTTATTGTTTTTTTTATGTTTTTTTAAAAAAAATTTTTGATACTATGGCTTGTAGTTTGTAATAATTGGTTAAATCATATAACTATACTTCACTTTAAATGTTTTCTAAATATAGTAAGTCTACATATTCATCTGATTGATTATCATCACTATGATCTAATATGAAACTTATATTAGCTATGTTATCTATTAGTTAATTTTATTGTTCTAAAACTTTCTAAAAGATGATTCTAGTAAAATTTTACAGCCTTGTTAAAAGCAGACTCAGATTTGTTTATAGTTCTTTTTATAAGTTTATATACTAAAATATATATCATTTTTCTCATTATTATTCTATAAAGTTAAAAAGTCAAATATCTTTGGTTGTGATATATTTTTCATGAAAAACTGAGATATCAGTAGTTAATAAAATACCAAATAACCTTTTAAGACTTTTTATAGCAAAATTGTAGACTCTTTCTAAATGTATTGCTATATCTTCTATAGTTAAGCTTATCTTATATAATAATAAATATACAGTATATGACAGATAATGTTACACACTGACAAAAATAGAAACAACTGTGCCACCAATGTGGCTTATAACTAAACATCATCCCATTAGGAAAAATCACTATTAGGAAATGTAGATAAAACTAAATAACGATTAATTACATTTTAAAAATTAATTCGGTTATCAAAAAAAAAAAGCATCACATGATAAAGAATAAATAGTATATTATCCTTAAATAGTATTTGTTCAACTAGCTGAACATGATTTGTGTTGCCGTTATGAAAGTTGAAACGACTTACGCCTCGCTTAAACTATTATAATAAAATTACTAAAATTACTCAGAACGATTGCATAATTCGTAACACAAATCTGTTGATTTCCACATTAGTATAGATCTTTTGGCACTAAAAATTATATATATAGGGTTGAAAAGGGAAGGGGAAAAAAAATTTTTTTTTTTTTATCCTTTTTTTTAAATAAAAAATAAAAAAACAATGGGATATTATTGGTAGAGAGTATCAGCTCATCATATAATAATAACAATAATAAAAGGTTTAATTTACTCATTATATAAATAAATATAGGTTATTTTATTATAACCTTTCTGGAATATATATTTAGAACTCTATAATTTCTGCATTTCCAATTTTGCATAACATTAACTTACCATTGTTTTTACGGATAATTACTTTTTTCATTAACCTTTTTACGGATATTTGTACAAAACCTCACAGTATCCGATCTGCAAGTTTATCATTACGTTTTGTACTTCATTTACGCATTACTTCATTAATTATTATATAATCCGTCTTACAAACATTATAATCATTTCAATTTTCTTTAAATAAACAAAAGAATCATTTTTTTCATAATCTTTTTATTTTATTTTGTTTTCTTTTTAAAAAATTCTTTTGGCATATCGAAGTACACAAATTTTTTTTAAAAAAAAAAGAAAAAAAATTTTATGTCTACTACAAATATTACACCTACAGAATTAATTATTCAATATCCATGTTTATGGGATAATTGTCGTGATTCTTTTTTGTCTTTACCTGACTTAGGGGCACATATTGCTACTGTTCATTTGAATACTCTGTCATCATTTAATTGTAAATGGAGAACTTGTCATAATTATAATTTTCAAACGAAATATTCTTTAGTACAACATATATATTCTCATTTATCTTCTATACCTAATCATCTTCAAACTCGTGAAATGGTTCGTATCACTCCATATTATCCACATTATGTAAGTAATACAAGATTTTATTCGTTTTATCTACTTTTTTCAACCGCTTTAAATGTTTCTTACTCTTTATTATATTAGTATTATAACCAGGTTCCATCAGGTATTTATCCTCAAACGTATATACAGTCACCTTATAGGCCTTATACATATCAATATACACCAATCATTCAAAATTTTCAATCGCGATCTGTGAGTATAAATTTAATTTTATATGTATTTTCTTTCATGGTTTTTTTTAATTATTATTAATATAAACAGCCAGCGCACGCCATATTGGCTCTTGGAAATGATGAATTTATATCAAACAACAATAATATTGAGATAGGTCCTGTGATTTCATCAGTTAGTAAACAAACTCATTCTTTTATAATTATTATCGTAGTAAAAAAATTTTTTGATCGTTAACCTTTAATTTCCCCTCCTCTTTTTTTTTTGGTTTAGGGACAAAATTCATTACGATCTGTGGATCCTCAATCAGTAGTATTACGACAATATAAAATTCCACAGCAAATTGATTTGGTGACTCCATCTCAAATTGTAATTCAAGAAAAAGTCGTACCATCTCAAATTATTAACATCCAGGATGAATCTCCTATACAGTGTTTTTCACATTCAAATGCTTCATCAACGTCTACTCAAGTAATTAATTATATTTATAAAATTTTGTGTGTATAAATATATGGTTTTTTATTTATTTATTTAATTTTCATTAATTTTAACCTATAATTTGTTGTTTGTCTTACAGAAACAAGAACAAATTAATACAACTGATTTAAAGAAAGAATTAGAGGAACTTCGAGATCTTTTAAAAGAACAGACGCAAAAACTTAATGATAAGACACAAGAACTTGATAAAAATACTGAGGAGATGAAAAAAATGGCGGACGAAATTGATGAAAAATCAAGAGAGATTACAAAATTAAAAAGTACAATCTCTTTGAAAGATAGTGAAATGAGTATTATTAAAGAAAATCTTGAACTTCAAACGAGTATATCAAAGATTTTACAAGAACAAAATCGTATAGCTGATGATAAACTGAGAAGGATGTGGGTAGAAATGTTATGTAGAAAAGCTGATTTAGGCGAAAGTGTTTCAAATAGAAAAATGAACATTAATGATGAACCATCATCATTTACCTCAAGAAAAAGACCTAGAAGAGATAAAGATGAGGAAACGGAGAATTCTGATTTACATCCTATGGAGTTGCCTGCACCTCCACATGAAAACATTTCGGTAATTACTAAAGGAATATCATGTAGTTGGGATGGTTGTGAAAAAACATTTAGAACAAGGTTAGCACTTAAAGCACATATTGTTTCTTCTCATATGAATGAAGAAATTTTAAAAGTTCCTGTTATAAATCCTTAAATAATTATGCGGAAACAGATAATGGAATCTAGTACATGTATAATAACATTTTTGGCTTTTTCTTTTTGATTTGATTAATAGCATTTAACATTATCTGATATAATAAAAACTTTAAAGTAGCAAATATATAAGTAATAAATAGCATATTATATACAGAATAATTTTTTTATTATTTTATTTTTTTTTAAAAAAAAAAAAGCTTAATTTGGCATTAATTATTATAAGATTTATTTATTAATATATATATATATATATAGTATAATTTAATTTTCAATATAAATTCAATTATTAATTAGTCTTAATAAAATAAGAGAATAAGAAATGAATTTTACATTAATTTCTATATGCTGATTTTTTTTTCATTCAAATAATATAAATAAAAAAAATTTATACTTATAATAACATAATATAATTTTAACTTGGGTATTTACAAGTAAATTTATATAATCAAAAACATAAGAAATATTGTTAAAATAAATAAATCTATGTAAAATGAAATAATAACAAATATTTTTTTTTAAAAAAATTTTAAAATTTTTTAAAAAAAATAATTGGCATAAAATATAAATTTTTGAAAGGGTGATTTAATTTAGATTATTTAACTCAAAGAGCAAGTTAACAAAACTCATATAATATAATAATAATATAATAATATAATATAACTATATAACAAAATATAAATATAATAATATTATAACTGATAATATAATTGCATAATAAATAATGTATTATATAATAAAAGTAATGTAATATTTATAATAAAACTACTGTATTTATATTACAAAAAAATGCAAATTTTTATAAAAATTATTTTAAGTAAACTTATTATAAATAGTATTTTTACTACATCTTTTTTTATAAAAATAATTATTAACAAATATCTAATTCATAACTTAATAACTAGAATTTTAAATAATACTAATATAAAAAAAAAATGAAAAAATATTTTTTTTATAATATTTTACCAGTTAATATAATATTAGAAATATGTGTGATTTACTACTGTTAAATTCCTCTTATTGAAATAAATCTAAATCTAATAATATTATATTCAATTAGTAAATTACTTAAAAAATTTTTAAAAATCTTTTTATAATAATATTAAAATATAAAATATAATATAGGTGGACTTATAGCAAAAGGAAGGTTTGACCAAAAATTTTTTTTTTATTTTAATTATATATTATTTTATTTAACTTTTCAGAAAAAAAAAATTTGTTTATAATATATTAATAAAAAAATTTTTTATTAAGAATTTACAAATTTTATATTTTTTTATTATTACACTTAACAAATAATATAAATGTTTTAGAAAAAAAACTAATACTTTTAATGAATTCCTTTTAATTTTAAAAATTTTTAAAAATAATGGAATAAATTATAATTTATTAATTAACCAATAATATTAAAGTGCAATTTTTTTCAAAATCACATAATTATCCATCTGCCCATATAGTAATTGCATATAGATCATTTTATTAATTCTTTAATTTTCTTAATTTTTTTAATTTTTCAATTTTTTTAATTTAACATTTTTATATTTTTATTTTATTTTATTTCTTTATGATTTTTATTTTTAATTTTTATTATTATAAATAATGTAGGTAAATTAATAGTTAAATTTTATATTGTAATATTTAAATTATATTATTTTTAATTTTCAAAATAGTTTGATTTTATTAATAAGAAATTAACTATATTTTTTATGGGTTTTATTTTTTATCACCATGGCGATGCATCGCTAATGTCACGTGATTTTATAATTCTGGCCGGAATTAAAAGATCGTTAAAGAAATTTCCTTTTTTGGAAGTTTTGTGTAACAAAAACTTGAATTTTGCTAAAAAATAAAATTGCCTTTTTGGATTGTGTAACGTTGCCTAAAGCTCCAAAAAAGGATATTTTGGACAGCGTTATAAAATTTGGCCGAGATTAAGCATGTGATGTACAGGGAGTGACAAATAGTATTTTTTGCACTGAAAAAATTCTAAATCCCTAGAATAAATAATAAAAATGGAAAACTAGAGGATGTGATGCGGGTGACAAATTATTCACATATGTAAAGTCACGTGATACTTGTGACACATCGCTATGGTGATTTTTTATAAAATCCATTTTTTATTATAAATAAATCTAATTGTAACAGCCTAGGGTAGTCTTACCACACCACCCTCGATTACACAAATATTTGTTGGGGTGTGATGTCCGAGGTGTGTGACAAATAGAAATCAGGCTAGTAAAAAAAAACTAAGTCCCTCAGATAAATATAAAAAATGCGAATGCGGATATCACGTGATAATGTGACGCTAAATGTCACTGTGTAACTGAGGGTGGTGTGGTAAGATTTTTCAACAGCCTGTTACACATCTTATTTGTAACAACCCCCAATTTTATCCAATTAAAATTTAAGATCAGGCGTAATGTAAACAAAAACAAAAGATCAGTTGTGTAACTAAGACAAAAGAATTTTTTAAAAAATTTCAAGAAACTGCTTATAACTTAAAATTTTGTCTATGAAACTGTCTTAAATACATTAAGTAAAAGTTTTCCAAATTAAATTTTGCATATAAAAATTTTATTTGTGAAACACAT